AGAGCGTAGTCAGTGTCACTGAACTGTGCATGTAGAAATTTTTGAAATGGTGTATCTTTGGCTATGTGTATTTTCACCAAAAAAAAAAAAAAATGGTTGAGAAGTTAGAGGGTTGACATGTTGTGGGGTTGTTAACCAATGTCATAAACAATATGTGTACTACTGTTTCATGAGAAACTATTTGTTGTGTAAGCCTTCACCTGAAGTACAATTAAAAAATTAAATAAAAAAAATTGTGATTTAGGTGAAAGTTAAGAAATTAGCAAATTAGCTTCTTATTCAAAAATTTATACACAAGTTGTTTCAAGACATTGGCTGCAATTCTGCATTGTGTCAGCACCGCCCCCCCAGCGCGCGCACACACACACACACACACACACACACACACACACACACACACATTCACCATGTCCTTTCGTCCAGTAGTCCTGTCCCCTCTCGCCTTCTCATCTTTGTTCCTGGGAGGTGTTGCCCATTTGATCTTGTATACTTGATTGATCTAAGAAGCACGTTCCTCCTGTGTGTTGTCTTACAGGCCTGCCTAATCGATGGCTGAAAGGTAAACTTTGGTAGTAGCTTCAAGTCTGAGTTAGAAGCGTGACCGGGGACTGTAGTCTTGGGGGTTCCTCCATTCTCTGTTAGGCCAGTAAGTGTGGTCTTTTTTGTGAATTTTGATCATTTGTTCTACATTTTTCTCCTGCTTTGTCCAGGACCCTCTATTATAATCCCAGTCAGAGCAGTAGGTAGTGGTAGCTGGGCACATCTAGTTCTTCTGGTCTCGGGGTCATGTAGGCTATGGTTCATGTGGCCCATTAGTCCTTTGGACTGATTGCTCCCTTGGGTCTTCAGTGTTTTTCCTCTCCTTTGCTCCATACTAGAGGAGACCAATAGTTGTATCTTAGATGGCTGCTCGCAAGTTTTTAAGACCTCAAACGCTACTTACCAAAGTAGGATGTAGAACATTGTCTTTAAGAACTGTGTTGTGCCAGTTGGTGCAGATATCCCCCGAGTCTATAGTCCTTTGCCTTCAATCCTGGGAACTTCATCTTGTGAGGTGTTTATGTCTAAGAGGTTTCCCCGACTGTGCCACTTGTGTCTTCTATTGTCTATATTAATATATGAGGGAGCACCTACAATTTAGAAATTTCCACCTCTGAACCTGTATCTTCTGGTGAGTTTGTTCCCTTACTCCCTCCTTCACCTCTTGGCATATCTATCTGGTATCTATTTGTAGATCATTGTTGATTCTATTGTCGCAGGATCGTCTATGCTATCGTAGTTACCATAGTTGTCCTTTATTCCTGCGTTCCTCTCAGTATCCTCTCTTGCTTTGGTCATGTTCTGCTGACTTCTCCTATATTGTGTATTGCCTTTCCCTTCACCAGTATTAGCTCATATCTACTGTCTCTGTTAATATTCCCTTCCTCCCCCTCCCATCCCTGGT